CTGGATATGAGGAACAATCTAAAAATTTTACCTGTAAAATCTCATTTTGTCTTCAGAACTACTCAATGATTTAGTCACTATTATTAGATAGTATTAACAAATGAGCAAACTATGACACACAAACATTAAGTTAGTTGTCCAATATGACATCTTAGTAATGAAACCCAGATCTCAACTAAGGCAGCCTGATTGGGGAGCTGTTATATTTACAACTTCTGTGGCCTTCTATGACATGTTTTTGGGCATGAAATTCAGTTTACATTTTACAAATCTGATTTCCACTTACTTTCTCAGAAATTCTTATTATATTTCTGAAAAACTGCTTAATAGGAGAAGGTGGAGGTGGGGGAGGCATGTAGAAAATTTATGTAACATAATTTTAAACCTTACCATTGAAGGAACTTCCTTCTTCTTTTTGTAGAAGACCTATTTTTTCAGTTATCTATTCATCATAAGCTATGAGAAGAGAAGATCAATTAACCTTTTCAACCTCTTTCTAAGAAAAGGCAATGATGACTCAGCTAATTTTAAAAAATGCCAAATACAAAATCTGTATAAATAATAATATGGCTTCTATTCTGAGACTGTAATATTACTGCTATTTTAATATTTAGAGCTCAAGTGACCTATTTGATCATTACTACAAGACTAGTTGTCTCCAGTGACAGAAAACCTATGGATGCTTAATGAATCCTTAATCCTGAATTCATTTTCTAGAGGAGTTTGGACCAAGAGCCAAGAGGGGTGATATTACCACTACTCCTGGAAAATAACTGGAAGTGAGGAGCATCATAATCAAATAAAAACACCATGTAAAACATACATTTTTCAGGTTCTATATTTTCCTATTCCACAAGTCAGAAGTCTGCTTCCTCTGTGTCTCCAGGGAACACTCATAAGACTACCAGAGGCACATAGGTTACAAATCACTTCCCAATCTGTAAGTCCAGAGGACACTCATGAATCTCTCTCCCTCTATATTCAGATCTCCCTTTCTTGATCTCTGTGACACCACTGTCTCCCACTTGTCCATCTTCTTAATTCCTTTTAAGGAGTCCTTTAATATGAGCATTTCCCTTGGGCTTGGAGATTATTCTCCTGGGTGGAAAATAATCCTGCCTCATGAATTTGACTACATTTTATTCTCTATAATCAATCTAGCATAACTAATTATTCTCAATCTGTGAACAGATAACTGTTTCTACCTAAAATAAATAAATGCCTGGCCTTGTGCTCTTTTCAAAGCATTTCTCCAAAGCCCAGTTTGTCATGTAATTTAAAATGGAGGGAGAAAAATGAAGAGACAGCATCATTCTCTGTAGTCCTCCGGTTTGGTTTTCAACCCTAGAAGCAGCAATCACGCTGCACATCAGCTCCCCTCCACAAATAGCTTTTAGGGACAGTTAGTGATGCTGTTACCACCAAAACAATTTCTGCATAACAAGACCTAGGTGTTGGCAGTGGAGTGCGGATGTGCTTGGAGACATTTCATTCTTGCCCCTGAGGATTATCCTGCTCCTTGTCCTGGAAGCCCAGAGCAGCACAATAATCTAGATGCCTCAAAGCTATTTGTAATGGTAATTATAAAGGACTTGCAGCACTCTTTCCTCCATCATATTCTGATTTAAAATTTCTTATAGTCCAACTACCCAGGTGAATGGGGAGCCACAGTTCTGACTTCATTTGAGGTTCAGGATCCAGGCCTGGGTGGAGGAGTGGAAGTGCCTGCTAAGAGCTGTACATGATGAGCTGAAGGGAGCCAAGATTTAAGTCCTGGTTAAGAGGGAGCCTTGTAAGGAAGGGAGAGTTTAAAGAATCAATTGAGAGGAGTGGATAGAGGGTTGGCCAGCTAGGTAAGATGAAGTTAATTAATTTGGGAAAAGCCTGCAAGGATTCCTTAGATGAAAGGTCATCTTTCATCAAGATGCTTTCATGGACTGAGAGTTGGAAGAACTTGAAAAGCTATTAATATCCCCTTTGGGTTGGACATTTTTAACTCTTCTCTATCAACATTGTGGTTTTACCCATCTTAGACTAGCTACTGAAGTTACAAGAATGTCTCCTAGAAATGAGAAAAGTGAAATCTGCTGTCATGTTTCCTAGTCATACTTAAATTTTGATGCCTGGTATAAGTAAGGAAAAGACTTCCTCCTGTGAGTTCCTGAAAGAGCCTTGGACATCCCATCAAATAAGTTAAAACACTTGCCAGGAGTAGGTTCATGGTGAACATAAATTGTGTGTGGTCTTCCCGGAATACAGACTTGAGTTCTGTTCAAAATGATGGTGAATTTAGAATTAGTGAGGTTTATTTTCAGAACAGTTAAGGTTATAATTGGAATTATTTTATTAGGTAGACATTTATATAACTTTTCATTATCATTGCTTTATTACTTTAAATTTCCTCTTAATTATCCACTAAGAGAATTAGAGTGTTTGATTAAGAACACACTTAAAATAAGTAGAATATCATTCTAAATATCAATAAATTAGTAGTAGAATTAACAATTGTTTGTTTACTTGTCTATGTACCCTTCACAGGATGTAAGCTCATAAAGGCAAGGATTTTTATCCTTGTTATTTATAATTATATCCCTAGTAACAACACTGCCGAGGGCACAATAAATACTCAATAACTATTTGCTTAAATAGATGAGAGTCAAGGAAGCACTGAGTCCATGAGCAAGTAAAACATTTATATTTTCTAATATTTGAAACTCTTAAAAGTGCTTTAACTCTTAAATCATATTTGCTGAATAATGAGAATATTAGATCAGTTGTAGTAATCAGTATTTTGATGCCCCATTCTTCACTCAAGGAGCAGAAACGAAAGGTGGGTGTTTCTGGAACTCAATCAAAATCTTTGTATTATGAAGTGTAATAAGTCCTTGATGAGACAAATTTCTCTAGCAGAATACAGTACTCACTGAATTAAAAGGTCTAAAAGGAATCCAGAAGAAATGGAAAAAGAAGAGATGATGGGTAAATTAGCAGAGGTAAACCAGAACTGAGTACAACTGTTGAACCTTATTTGCAAAGAGGCTTCAGGGTTTTCCTTTTAAACTGCAGATAAAAGAAACCTCAGAGATGGATATTTGCTCAGGCCCCAATTCTCTTGTGGGTATAATTTGTCACTTTACTCATAAGCACTGTACAGAAAAGTGATGACATCTTTGAGACACCAAGATCCTGAGAAGAAAATATAAAAAAGAAAAAACAACATGTTTGCTACAACCTCCTGCCACATGTAATATACCCTACTGGTTCTTCCTTCTGGATATATTTTTATCCTAGAGGTAAAGAATAAGGAATTATCTTCCATCTTACCCTGTCTTTTATCCTTGTATATTAATAAGGAATGGATATAAAATCTTAAACCCAGAAAAATACAGAGGCCTAGACAAAATAGAGGTCTTAAGTAAACAAAGAGAACATTTAGCCAGAATTTATCTTTTTATAGGCACATTTTACTCACAGATGGGCACTTATCTTATCTATAGGTCTGTCTATCTTGTCTATGGTCTTTCTTGGAAAAGGTGTATAATCTGAAGGAAGAAAATGATACCATGCTGGGCTGAGGAGAATGGAGAAAAACAAATTTCTCAACATGTATGGACAATAGAAATACTTTCCATACCTTCTGTGAATTCCTTTTGAAAAAGTTACTTGAGGATGTACTCCAGGAAAAAAGTGAATCCTAAAAAGAAGACAATATGGGATCTAAAAAATTCTTTTAGTTCAGTATAGCAGTGAAAAGAAATTGATTTTGTAAGTAAGAACAAGAAGTCAAAGGACTTTTACAAGAAGGTCTATAAGATGATATTTTGAATGAATACATTTTACTAAATACCATGATGAATGATTGTAGTAATGGTAGTAAGATCCAGGTGTCCTTCTTGACAAGAAATAGTGAAGTTAATTAAAAACTCCATGATGAATGATTGTAGTAATGGTAGTAAGATCCAGGTGTCCTTCTTGACAAGAAATAGTGAAGTTAATTAAAAACTCTAGAAAGTGCAAAACCTGTACAGGAAAGTCACAATGTGAACATAAAACAAGTTGAAATGTAGTAATTTCGAGAAATGAAAAGTAAGGAAAGAGAATCTATTTGATCTTGAAACTAGATAATTCTCCTTCAAGCAATACAGGTTATTGACAAAGAATTACATTTCCTATTTCCACTTTGATTCTTCACTGAACAATATTTATACAATCACAATATTTTATTATTTTTATTAGTTTAAAAATTTTTAATTCAAACTATAGAGTAAGCATTTCAAGGTATAAATATAGTTACAGAACAGAATATAAATATTATATCCTTGACAAGGTCAAATGAGTGAGAAAGCTAACGGAGTTTAAGAGATAGAGGGAGGATAGAATAGATGGAAGTATAGGGTTCCAAATTTTCTTAAATAATGGGAGAAATATTGATAGACATAGAGCACTAAATAGATTACTCAAACCCAAAAAGATAACCCAACAGAGGAAACACTAGTAATCTTAAGAGCTAATAATGAAAAACAATAGTTAAAATTTAAAAATAACAGAATAATACCATCTACTAATAGCAAAATAACAAAAATATTGATACTGAAAGATAAATTTTTCAGCTTTCATGACAGGGATTCAATAGATAACATCTAAAGTCAATAAATCATGAAAAGGAGATACAACCATATTGTTCAAATATATGGAGGTAACCAAAAGAAGAACTATGAATAGAATCATATTAAAAGGATTCCTTCATGAGCGGGGTGGCAATAAGAGGTGGAGTGGAGGATGAGAAAGTTAAACTTTTCATTTTACAATTTTCTGTACTTTCTAAACTTCTTTCTTTATCATATGGATATATTATTTTTATTACATTAAAAAGGTAAAACATGATGACTAGCATTTTCTTCAATGATATTATCCCCAAAAGCATTCTTACAACAGATAAAATGATTTCTTACAATTTTAGATTCAAATTATAGAGTAATCGTTTCAAGGTATAAATATAGTTACAGAACTATAGAGATTACATACTCCTGCAGGTAATAGTGATAGAAGCAGCAAGACCAAATGAATGCTGTAGTTAATATTGCAATGAGTAGAAGCATCAGGAATCCAAACATGTCAACTGAAATGTATGAAGAGAAATATATTTTAAGTTAACAGAAGACTAATAATTTATTACATTGTCATCATTTTTAGTATCATGCAGTCTGATTCTTAAATACAAATTCACAAGTCCTTGTTGAAAATAATACAATAACACACACCACATACTCTAATAAAACTACCATTAACACAGCAATCACTAACACTTGAAAATAATCTGGATTGCTAAAAGGAGATAATGTCTTTGGTCTCCAAACTGGCAAGTTATTAGGCCACTAGGGTTTTTTGTTTTGTTTTTTCCTTTATTTTATCTCTACATTCATTCTAGGCAACATCTCAACATATAAAATAGTATATCCCTTAGGTTGCTGTTTCTATGAAGATACACATAGACAGCAAGAGACGGTTTTATTATGTGAGTTTCAGCAGTTCCTTTATCAAAGAGACAACCAATGCTCACTGCGAAAGCAGATTTCCAGCACTTGTAAACTTTTCCCCCTCAGTACTATGAATTTATCAGCCTGGTGTATGTAGAAAGTGCAACGAGAAGGACAGAGCATGAAAGAGGAGACTAGGGTTCCCATCATACTAAGTATAGGAAGTGTTACTTGTTTATACATTCCTTGTTGGAAATAATCCTTATAGTTCCTGAGGAAAACAGGGCTTGAGGGCAAAATTTACGTTTTCTCACTTCAGTTAAAAAAGCATGGGCAACTGGTGTTCTAGATTGGGTTTTCTCATGTACTTAGGGTTTACCTGGAAAGGTTTTGTTTCAACTTTTTTTGAAATCTTCTTAAAAGGTTGCAGTTCATTGCTTCGCTAAGTATCTGGTAACAAACCAAAATTACAACATTACAGATGTAATTTAAAGATTCTTTGATGATTGAGATTGTTCAGTCCTAGGGAGCCATCCTGAATGGTAGGTAATTCAGTATACAATACACTGGCTGAGGAGATATTAATTATAGTAAAGCTACTGGGCTCAATAGGTCTCACCCTAGGACTAGCTTATCAGAAATTCCTAGAGTTCCTGAAACAATGTAATAACATAAACTTACCTTCACTGGGTTATTGTTATCATACATCAGAAAATTTTAGAGATAACAGTATCTAACAACTGGCTTGCTAAGGCAGCCACCAATCAGAACCAATGTTGACCTAGTTTGAGTCAGCACTGTCTGGAAATAACCAGTATCAGCCTGTATCAGGGGAAACATCATTGAACAGATTTGTTATATTTTAATAAAGCAAATGCAGTAATTTATAATCCTTCAAGCATAGCAAATCGCTAGCATTTGTAATTTAATTGAAAAAAGTACAGAAAAATTCAAATAAAGACAACTCACCTCTACAGTTTAACCAATAAATATAACTGATTTGATGCCCAAAGTTCAGAAAACAAACTTTTTTGCAAACCATTTCTTCACTACACCAAAAACATTGTATTTGGAAAGAGAAAAATAAAAGCAGTGTTCAATATAATAACCACAAGCCCAGTAAGTTTTAGTACTACTTCAAGAAATGTTCAATAAATTACAGCCATCCTCCTCCTACTACTCATCATTCTATTATTATTATTTGTAGTAGATGCTGGTGGTGGTCTGCCCAGACCTCCTTTTCCAGGCCCAGGCACCTGAACCCCAGCAGCAGTGAGTGTTGGCTGGCAATGGCTCAAGCGGTCCTTGTTGAATTGTCCTCAAAGGACGGAGACTACCTTGCCTGTGAGAATACTTGCCTCTCTGCCAGTAACTGACTGATATATGAGGTTCCAAATAGTGGGCATCCTTCCAGGGACAGTTCTACTATGTGAATTTTTTGCCCCAGGGTTGCCCAGGTTCAAGCCAAGGGTAAACTTTACCTGAGACCGTATCTTTGCTTAACTCTTGTCCCCTACTTGCACTGAGTCCCTTACTCCTTTACGGAGTTTTGCTGAATAGCAGTCACCCAAGAAATCCCATGTTCTCTTTCTCAGGATCTGTGTTGAGGGACATTATTTCACAAAAGTAGTAAAGTAGGACTTTAGTAGGTGGGGTTTTTTTCTTCCTCCAAAACCCTTCCCATTCCCTTGACTGTAGCACTCACTCTTTCCCCCAGGATTCCTCCTCTGTTACATGTGATCCCGGTGTGCTGTCAACCGACCTTGCCTCACCACCTCAGCCCTTTGGCTCACTGGCCCAGTAAATAGTGCTGGTCAGGACTTGAGACCCAAAGAGGACCAGTCAGAATATTCTTTGGAGTGTCATGCAGACATTGGGAGAGATCTGCTGGAAGCCAGCCTCTTCCCAGCTGTATGGAGAATGTCCATTTGCCATAGAAGACAATGAGGTCAATACACAGAGGGAGGCAAAGCTGGGAGATGGAAAGAGGGCAGAAATGGGAGTAATATCCTTTAAGAGTCAGCTGGGCATGAAGCCAAGGCTGCTCCTGGACTCCCCAGTTTTGTGAGTCAATAAATTCCCCTTCTTATTAAATTAGAGTTAGGTTTATGTCACTTACCACAAAAAGATTTGAATAATAACTTACCTAAGTCTAAAACTCTTCAGAGAAGAACTTCACATTACTCAGAGGAACAGTATAATATATTCAACATCCTAACATTGGTAATGCATAATTTAAGACAAATTACATAGATTTTTTTCCTTGTAGTTAAAGAAGGTGACCCATATAAATATGAAGCTATGCCAACTTCAGACTTTTACAAGAATGACAATTGAGAAGTCAGCTAAAAGACTTTAGAATGATAGTTAATATTGCTCCATAGGAAACTAAAGTATTTGTTTTAGGGTAGAACTCTTTTAATAAGCTTATATGGATACCAAAATTCATATTTTTATGAGCAAATGTCATTAAAATGAGGAAATGTAGAATTGGAGAAGGTACATAAAAATGTTTACTGGTTTGTTAACACTGTATAAATCAAATGGTTTAATATTATACCAGCAAAAATATACTAAATAAGTGTTATTGTGCAAAGAGGTATCTTAAAGTAGTGGGCACTGAGAGAGATCAAAATAGCAGTTACTAATTATATGGGCAAATGCTAGATATAGCAGAGGTTACACAGGTATATAAAGCGCTATTCTTGTTTTCTAGAGGGTGATGATTAATTGGCAGGTATAATATGGACAGTCAACAAAAAGCAAAATCTCTAAATGGCAGAAAATAATAATTTCAAAAGGAGTGGGACAGATATAAAGTGTAATAGGAGTTCATAAGAAAAATACTCAGAGTTGTAATGACTAGATACAATTTCTTTCAGCAAACGGGCAGTAAAATCTGCACAGGAAAGGGGAGGGCATTAGACATGGAAGTCAGGGCAGAAGGAAAGAATAGGCACCCACTATGGCATGAAAATCTCTCATGGAATTTGGTGGAATTATTTGAAAAAGGTAAGCTTCTCTCAGAATGTGATGGCCAAACTAAGGAGTTTGTATTTTATCTTCACAATAGGAATTCAACTGAATTATTTTGCGCTAAAAGGTGACATGCTCAAAGTGCTAATTTAATATAATGAGAAAGGCATCAGAAGGGACTTCAGGGACTGGGAGAAGTCTAGGATTGTTCCAGCCAAGAGAAAAGATATAGAAGGATTGATAGGACTTTGTGAACTGCAGATGGAGAAAAGGGAAGGGAAAGGAGCCAAAGGTTTCTGAAGTTATGGGTTTAGAACATGCTACCAGAAAAAGTAAAGTAGCAAATAAAAGGAGCTTCTTTGGAGAAGGAAAATGACAAATTGAGTTATAGAAATTTTAAGCTTGAGGTGATGAAAAACTGCAGGAAGAAATGTCAATCAAGCAACTTTGAGGTGACCCCAAAGCCCAAGGGAATATTAGGTCTAAGGATGTAGGTTTGAGATTTCCTTACATGGGGGTACAGAGAGGTCATGGCAGTAGTGAGATAGCACAAGGGTGAGAGCACAGTATAATAAAGCAATTAGGAGGATGAGGAAGGAAATGAAGAGGAGATTGTAAAGGAAATATAGAGGTGAGGGCAGAAGCAGCAAGGTAAAGCCCAGATCACAACGTAAGGAGCAAGTTTCTAGTGTGAGTGACTGGTTGGAAAGGTCATTGCACTTGGTCATGGAGAATCTTTTGTAACCTCTGAATCAGTTTGATAAGGATTAAATCAGACAGTGTGATAAGGCAGACAAGGGACAATAGACTTTAGCTGCTTGAAAGAAACAAGGTTTGGTTTGTTTTTTTCCATTTTTGTCTGAATTCTGAAAGAAAAGATGTTAATACAGAGAAATAAATTGAATTTGTCACAGAGGGGACAAGGAAATGAGACAGACTCTGAGTTTGTGAATGTGCATGTGTTTCCAAGTCTGATGCATACATAGAAGTAAAGACTAAGGAATTAGTCTTGGAACTGATAATCAACTTCTTAAGGGGAAAAGAAGTGTAAGAGAAAAGCCACTGAATTGATTAGGAAGAAAAATGAAGGAACTTGAACCTGATGGATGGCCTGAAACTTCCCCAGGAAAATCAAGCTCCAGAAGGATGGTCATTCCCAGAGCAGGTAAGGTATTGGGAATAGCTGCCTTGAAGAATAATCTAAGAAACTGGTCCTCCACACATTTTTTTTTCAGCTGAGAGACTCCTGATAGGTGATATCCACATGTTTAGTGGTATATTGAGATTCAGATGCATGATCCTGTCCATTTTCCTCTATTCCCTGCCTTTACACATACACACACACAACACAAAATTTTTGGAAAATAAGTATCAAAGTAGTCATCTTTGTAAGGGTGCAAGGTATGGCATTTATAAATGCATCTTACAAGCAAGTGAGTAATGGTTATTTCCTATGAACCGTGCAATAGATTAGGTGGACTGTGGGAGATTTTTTTTGAAAACCTAGTGGATTTGCTGTGACTTCGCTCCTTTCTGTCTCAACCCATAATCCTTATCAAGACGCAATGAATGAGAAAGATGTGATTATGGAGAACACCTAGAATCTATTCTGATTTATTTTTTTAGTCAGTTGCAAAACTCAGTCTTTTAATAGTCATGAGCAAAAAGACAAAGAGAAAATACAACTCTCATTATTATGACATCATGATTGAAACTGCCATTATGGCTTATGTTTGTAAACTGTTTGAGATACACTATCTTGTTACACCATAAAGTATATTAAATATAATTCAATCTTTTCATGGGTCAAATGTTCATTCAGTTTAATAGTTATGGAATACTGTCATGTGCTGGGAAATGTGTAAGGTATTCCAGATGCAAAGATGAATAAAACATGCACTTTGTCCTCAGGGAACTGAGAATGGGGAAAGCTGAACATGCAAACAGTTTAATGATATGTTACAATTCAAAATGTACATGTTAAATATCCAAAAGAGAGTTATAGAGGAATTCCTTTAAGAGAAAGCATAAGAATGGATAAAGATGAGTAAGAATGACAAATTTTATCAGTTTGGAGGCTGAAATTTACACCTAAAGCCTCAATTTTTATCTATAAAATCAGAGACAATTCATCAGTTGGAAATGAGTGAGTGTGGGATAATATTGGAACTCTAAGGATGGCAACAAATTATTAGAATTGTTGCTGTAGGCAATTTTAGGAAATGTTGCTAACCAAAGGCAAACAATGGATAGTATTTGTTTCCTATTTGGGTGAGACCAGAAATTATGGATTTTTGGGTACACTAATGCAGGTCAGGGGCATTTGACTAGTGGTGGGTTTTGCACCCTGCAATGAAATAACAGGTCTGGGCAAGGATCAAAGCTGCTAACATTATAAAATAATAGACAACAGACCTTATTTGCCTCCTAATAAAAGCCCTTGGCATGAAGTATTTCTGCTAGGAGATTAAGCCGAATCTGATCAAGCCCTCCTATGTTATTAGCAGTTTAGAAGAACAGGGAAAAGAGGAACCTGCTAAAGCACATCATGGGGATGTGATGAGCAAAATCTACACTGTAGGAAACTCAGTAGGACAAACAATTCAGTTTCTGCAACAAATAGGTTGCAATGAGGAAAGAGAGAGAGAGAGAGGAGAAGGAACATATACATAAAAAGAGATTTAAGGGATGTATCAGCCAACTGTAGGGTTTGGATTTAATTCAAATGAACTTTTTTAAAAAGTATGAAACAAGAGAAATGAGATTATTTCCTGGATGCTTGATGATATTAAGAAGTTATTACTAATTTTGGGGTATGATAATGGACTTGTAATATTTTAAAGCAAAGTCTTTATATCTGTCTCAGAGAGGGAGAGAAATATTTGCAAATGGAATGATATGGTATCCATACTATTATTATTTGCTTCACCTAAGATTGGCCAAGATGGATCTTGTGGATATAAAGTTTTATTATACTGTTTTCATATGTTTGAAATTTTCTATTGTAATAAACAAAGAAAGGCAGAAGAATATTCTATTCAAGTGAACAGACACGAGAATTCCCAGGAAGGAAGGGAGTCCACAGGAGAAGGCCAGTAAACTGAAGGAAAAAATTAGAGATTAAAGGGCTTGAGGACAGGCAGGTACAGTGTAAGGGAGGGAGAATGAAAGAACCATTGTAAATCCTGCAGGGTTCAGGATGGGCCCATGGGAGTGACTTCTTCATGCGCAGGTGGAGGAAGTCAGGACACTGAGCAACCATGTGTGTCTGAGCCATTGCCAAGGATGGAAAATACATAAGGCGAAAGCAGGAATTGGGTAGAGAAGTGCCTGAGCCAGGAGCCCAGGATCTCATTAAAGCTGAGGAGTGGCCAGATGAAGTTAAGAAGGGGCAAAAAGTGGTACAACCAGAACACTAGGAAAGATGTCAATTACTGGAGTGTGCCTGTTTCTAGTCAGTGACTTTGTGTCTTTGGTGTTAATTGTCAGTTCTCCAATATTGCTTAGAGTGGAATGGTTCTATGAGCATTGCTGCAAAGCTCTCTGCAACATCATTTCCTTCATTACTTATGGCAGTTCCACTTTCTTCCAAATCTGAAGTGAAGAATAATGATGTCAGATGTGTAATCATCAGAAAAGGGTATCTTAGCTACACTGTGGTTGAGGAACAGTGTGTCTTTCTTTTTTTAGTCTTTAGGCAATAGTAGAGCAAGGACATTTTCACTGCATCTCAAAGGGCTGATCTTTTCCTTGACTTAAAAAAGATCTCCCCAAAGTTAATATAATTTTTGCAAGCAAAAATTGCTTAGTTTTTAAAGTATAATTTTCTAGAAGGAAATAATTTAGTATAAATTGTACATGTTTGTACTGAATTATTTCCATCGTTTATTTCTAGATCCTCAAAGAATAGCTTGAAATGCAGAAAATCTTCATAACTGCTACTAGTCATTCCTACTATAAAAAACATTGTGTAAAACAATTTAACATCTTTCAGACTACAACTGTAAATTGTGTTATTATATTTATATAATATATAAACTATATTATAATATTCCCAAGACAATTTCTTCATGTGAAAGTTAACTTACCTTAGTGTTTTCTGTGCACAATTGACAATTTTTCTTTAGGGCACATGCTACAAGAGAACACAATAAAATATAAAAAATGCAAATACAAAGCCTATTTATTGCTCAATTTTATATAAAACTGAATTTCAACTAATCATTCCATTTCATGGCATATTCATCTATACCCCAGGGTTTTGCTTCATTATTTTCATATGTTTAGATATGTTTCCCCATTGGTACTCCTTAAATCCTTACTTTATTATTTTTTCCTATTACTTGGGAAAACATGAAATGGTACCATCCAACTCTGATTAGCCAAGTAAGTTCTAAAAATTAACTTGTAAAAAACAATAAGGAAAAACAAATTGGCAATATCACTGTATATTTATAACATCATACTTTTAAAAACTCTTCTAGTAACTCTTTTGTTATCCAGCATGGTTCTGTCAAGATATTCCTGGTTAACCAGTCATTTAAATATTCAAAAATTGTCCCCATTTGTTTGGCCACCAAGTCTTAAAAACTTCCCCCAAAAGAGGGTTTTCATTGTTTTGTTTGGTAAAAAAATAAACAATATAATTTATATTTGAAAGTCTAGAATAAAAAATATGAGTTTGGAGAAAAGCATTTCAATGGCTCTTTTTATTAGTCCACCATCCCTAGTAACACTATTACTCCAATATACCCTTGTTTTCTTTCTTGTGCTACAGTGACAATAAAGTGATTCTCTCTATTATTTGGAGGGGAGGGTTCACAGGCTCTGCGGGAAGAACAGACCTTTCTATGTAATTTCAAATTGGTTGGTGGCTACAGATCTGATTTGGCTGGGGGAAAACTTAACAATAGTTTTTCAAATTAAGTCCTATTGAGTAATTTACTCCTACTCAAAAGTATCCTTGAAGTCCCCAAGAGATAGGAGAGTTAAGGAAAAGGCAAGGTAAATGGGAAAGATTCTACTGCTTCAGCTCTGATGGGAGCATCTGACTTCAGGGGTAGGAGCCTTGAACAAAAGTCACATGGCAACCACCGTCCTCCAAATTCTACTTGCTTCCCAAAGCTTTTTTTGTTAGCTAAGGTTTTTGTTTTGGAATAACTGAAGACTTACAGAAAAATTGCAGCGATTATACAGGGAGTTCCTGTATAGCCCTCTCCTAGAATCCCCATTGCTAACATCTTACATTACTCTGGTACATTTATCAACACTAAGAAACCAGTATTGGGAGATTTCTTTTAACTGAACTCCAGCTTTTATCAGGATTTCATTAGTTTTACTCTAATGTCCCTTTTCTCTTCCACGATCCAGGATACGACATTGCATCTAGTCATCATGTCTCCTCTGGTCTGTCACAGTTTCTCAGCTTTTCCCTGTCTTTCCTACCTGGACAGTTTTGAGGAGTACTGGTCAAATCTATTGTAGCATGTCCCTCAGTCTGGGTTTGTCTGGGTTTTTCTCATGATTAGAGTGGAGATACAGGTTTTGGGAAAGAACACTGTGGAGGTCAAGTTCCCTCCTTATCACATCAAACCAGCACGTACATGATAGTAACATGTTTGTTTTTCAACTTTTATATGTTTAAATACATGAGAGAAATTTGAAGACAAAGGGCTGCTGCTAGCACTAGTTGGTGAAAGGGCATCTTTGTGTGAACTAAGAAAAGGTGTATCTCTAAAAGGACCAATTTAAAAAATGCTCACCGTTTCTATGGATTTGAGCTGTTTTAACCCTCAGCACCTCTCCCTTCTCCTGGGAAATACAAACCATCTTTCCTCTGCAAAACTCCCTTCTCACCTCTAGACACACAGTACGATTGGTAACTGCCCTCTCTTACACAAACTCCCTGGTCTCCACCAGGCAGTCAAGTCTATGCACCTGAATCAAACTGGGCTAATTCCAGACCACACTCTTTGGTCCAAGGAGAGGGAATATGCCCCAGTCAGGCCAATCAGAATTCTTCCCCCACAATTTACAAATTGAAACTTGAGAGTCAAGGGGTAGTAGGGTGCCTCTTTTCTCTTTGCTTGGAAAGCTGAGAGGATGTGGGCTTGGGGCTGCCAGTAGCTTTGAAAGAAGTCCTGAGGAGGAAAGTAATAGAGAATGAAGATGACAGGGAGAGAAAACAGAAGAAATGGGGAGCTGATGGTGATTTACCCGTGTCTAAGGCCCCCTGCATTCCTATTCTTCTCTTGTTTCTCTCAAGTGAGAAGAATTACATTTCTCTTACATGTATAATCTTGGTTTCTTATAATATATTCAAAAACATTCCAGTTACTATACAGCCCACAGCTGTTTCTTTTCACTAAGTCCTGATATTTTCCTTCTTTTCATTGCCACTACTTATTTTTTTCACAAAATTAAAACAGTATTATTGTCTTTACATAGTTACAAAAGTGATACATGTTCAACTTAAGAAGTAAGTATACATAAAAAATAAAAACTGAAGTTCCACCACCCAGAGAAACAGATTCTTCATCTTACTTTAAGCAAATTATTTCCATGATCTGAACTTGGATTTTGCCATCATTTCAGATGGCTCCAACACTAAAATCTTCAACTCCAATATTCTATTCTTTGACTAGAATCCTCTTTCCTTTCCTCTCAATTGCATTTTGACATCACTCAGAACTTCATTTTCCTTGACGTTTCCATTGTTTGCAAATCTGTTTGCCCCTCATAACCTCCTTTCCTTTTCTTGAGCCTGAACCCCATGTCAGTGAATGACCTGACCTGGTTCTATCTAAAAGGTTTAGATTGAGCATTTGTATATCTTGCCTATAGTCTTTCTTACTCTTGCTGGAAAACCAGTGAGGGCCAGCTGAACTATACGACCATGTTGTACACAAAGCAGTAAGTTCTTTCTTTCACTCTATTCTTGATGAGGTACTAATTCTACAGCATTATCACTTACTGGATTCTTCCCATATCCCAAAGGCCTAATTTTTGTATATGTTTTATTTCTAGTCACTTGCTTCCTCTTGATCACATTTTTTTCAAAACTTTTGCAGCATCATTCTCTCCTAGTTCTCTTGGAACATCTCTGGCTATTCTTTTTTAGATTCCTTTACAGGTTCCACTTCCTTAATCGATGTCTAAATTGTTACTCCATAAAATTCTGTCCTTGATCTTCTTCTCTTCTTCCATGAGGAATCACAATTTCAAAATCCTAGAGATGTTAGACATCAACATCATATCAGGTAGCAAAACAAAATCTTTTTTTTTGATTGGCATTGTAATGAATTAAAAAATTAACAATTTAAAAATACAACTGCATCAGATAAGCTGATTCTACAGTTTATCTGGAAGGGAAATTTTTTAAAGAGGTAGGAGAAAAAAGTGGGGGACAGATAACAGGGTTTTTATATTTCTCTATTTGTATCCTTTTATTTTCTTTACTTACTTGGTCTGTTGATTTTTGACATAAGCATGTAAAGTGATTCCATGTGATTTTTAATTTGTCAAGTGCTCTTTTTTATATCTATTAGCTTTTGCTGCACCTATTTCAAACTATGCTGTCAGATAAATAAAGGTTCATAATGTTATCTTCATGTATGGTATTATATATGTCAGTTTAGAATATCACTTATTCTACTTTAAACAGTTTTTACTTTAATGCTATTTTATGTAATATTAATATATTGCTACACTTGCTTTCTTTCTTTGTAGCACTTGCAAGGTTTACCTTAGTTCATCAATTAATTCTTTATTCCTTTATTTCCTCTAGTGGTTTTAAAGTCACACCTCCTTTACTGATTCTATGTAAACTGTTACTTTAAAAATCTTGAGACATCTATTTTATTTGCCTCTATCATTGACTAATCAGGACCTACATTCTCTACCTATATTGGATCCTAATACACTTTTTCTTTCTTCCTTTGCTTCCCCACACCACTTCCCAGGTAGAAATCATCGGGGATTTTAATTACTATTAAGTAGTTAATTATTATTAGCCAATTACTATATTTAAATTGCTATTGTTTTACTGGTTTCTTGCCAAGACTTACTGGTTTCTTTGTTTACTACTCTTTCTGAAATTCTACATTTCTCCTTAGTTCATTTTCATTCTGCTGAATAATATCCTTGAATATCTTTTTCAGAGAGGATCTGTGAGTGATAGCAATCACTCTGAGTACACATAAAATGAACTTAGTATTGGGGATTGTGTAGTAGATGGAAGCGACCAAGAAGTTTACCAAGGGAAAGACAATGAAACCCCACCTCCTGCCAGATATCAGCACCCCTAAGTCTAGAGGACAAAGGAAGGGGGTAGATATCAGAGTGCAATACAATAAAAATATTAGAGAGCATGACAAATATTGGTGGTGTGCTTACCATGAGCTGATATAAGCAAATGGATACTTATAGAAATGAAGAGAAAACCTGAAAGCCTTGCCTTATATTCAAATTGTTTAGCCTTCAATTTATTTCCTTGGAGAAATCTGCCTTTTCATCTCATTCTGATATCTTATCTTGACTTTGAGACTTGTTTCACTGATTTGGTTGTTCTCTAGCTCAAAACACTTGTAGGGAAATTCTCATCTGTTGAATTATGTTTACTTCTAGGGTAGATTATTTGTTTTCTGCATGCTATCATATACTCCTAAATTTCATTATTTATTTTGTTAGCTATGCAATGCTTGCATAGTTGCAATATTGCTATTATCATCTTACTAATACTTGTAGAGCTCTGTTCAGACCTTCTATTTGTGCTGACACAGTGTAGATGACATCTTGACCACCTTATCACTGTCCTTGAGATTTTTTTCTGAGAAACTAGTTTTATGGCATTTTATGCTCTATTCACTTAGTTGTTCTCAGCATTTGACAAAGGGAGAAAACTCAGGTGATGCTGTGCCAGCCTTTATTAGAACATCTGAGCTCAACACTCTCTTCTGAAGTTTCATCATTTCCCAGTGCTAGGATTTGCAGTAGTTAACTAGAGGTGTTTCCCATTTCCATAAAGGGGATATCTTTGGATTGTAGATCTAACCCTAAATCCAGTTTGTAGTCCAAGCATTGGTGTTTGCATCATAGTTAGGCCCACTGTTCAGTTTCTCTGTTTCCCTTATTTGTCTTCTATAACCATTTCCTCTGTTGATCTTCAGAACAGGGTAAAGGACACTCACTCAATTTGCATCTCTGTACATCTGGGAGTAGTAATAAAAATTCTTGGAATTTAGTGACTCACTAGTTACTTCTAAGGGGTGCTGATAGTACTTGGAGCATTGCCATGGTTGTGCTATTCTAGTCTGATCCAGAATCTTCTATTTCTTCTCTTGGTTGCCACTTGCTTTTTAGACTATGCTGCATTGTTGTTTGGTTGCTTCTGGCAAAAGAATTTCTCTACATTTCTGGGTTTTTTTAAAATTCATTCATTAGATATTGATTGGAGAACATTCTTAACTCAAGTTCTAAGTGCAAACTGTAACTTCTTGGGAATTGCTTACTAGGAATTCAAATGCAAGCGAAGATCAAGGTTAAAAGCCCTGGGGATCAAAGAAACCTGCTTTTGGGTGAGGTAAGACTTGATGTGAGATTATTCACAAAGTCAGAAAGGCTTATCATTCAGAGCACTAGCAGGGATGTAGGTGGGATCTCCATGAGGGGCTGGAATCTCTTTCTTGGTTTTGCAAGTGAAGCAATCATGATGTCTAAGAAATCATAACCCTGTTAGATGAGAAGGTTGAATGCAAGCAAAAAGAAAAAAAATAGACCATCTAGGCTGGGAAGCAAACACCCAGGGGAGACCTAGGATGGGCTGAACAAGGCTTTCCTTCACGAAGGGAAGCTGTTCCCTCAGAAACACTGCCCAGGCCTGGTCAGCCCTGAGCTAGCTAGTCAGAAACTTCAATCTTTGGAGACCAGACTATATATGTCATCTCCGATTCTCGATTTGTTTTGTTTACTCCCTTTTTGTTCTTGCTCAGCATTTGAATAAATTTTGAAAAATTCCAGTATGACTCCAGTTTGTTAGGGAACAAAGGGCAGGATTTGTTTCTATACTTGGCTTATGTGTTCAGGCATTATTTGTGGCGAGAACAGAAAGGGGTGGTGGCACTGGAACACTATTCCTCTCGGAACATATATATAGGGATGACCAAGAAGTTAAAAGAAAGAAATCTATGGGAAAGATGAAAAAAGGAAACAAGCTAAGCCTTTTGATTCAGCCTTTCCCCACCCCTATACCTCTTAATGGAGAATCTTATTTCAATGCAGCTGAGAGCTTTGGGTTTGTTTTAGTAAGAAAGCCTGATTCGCTTACAGATATTAACATCCTTGTGGACTCCCAACACCAGACAGCAGTAATTATTCTGTCTTACAGTGTTCATAAAAATGGCAATCTTGGCTTTACATTTTCCAAGTAATTAAAATCCTGTTCTTATTCTCTCTATACAATTCCAATTTAGGATACTAAAATCCTTATTTCCAGGTTTGAGAATTCAATTCAGCATGACTTCAAACATTTCAAAAGTTCTTCAGTTGGGAAGGACAGTGGAGGAAGTCTCCAAACCAAAGTAATTGTTAAGATAAGACAGATTCAGCAATTTGTTAAATAAAACCTTAAGAAGCTAAGAAAAACTAGGTATGGCCATGGAGTGGAGTCTGATTAGAAGAAACCCAACAGCTTATTCACAGCATAAAGCTTATGTATTATGGGACATGCAAAAGTTGAGTGTTTGGAAAAAGAGCTTTCCAAAATTTAAAATTGTTTTAAACCGCTTTTCATATTTCAGATAAAGCAAATTAATTCGAGCACAGTTTAAAAGGATTTCGCCAGACGTCGAAAGCCTTTAACGCTGTCTTCCCACTAACACTAAATGGCAACTTTAGAGATGAAAATCTCAGCCTACCTGGAAAGAAACCAAAAAAAAAAATCCAGGCAAACAGAAACAGGGCGGTGGCTGCGCAGGACAGGCGCCAAGGCTCTGAGCCCGGCATAGCTCACCGTCGTCATCTGCTGATTTGGGTCGCTGCTTGCCTCTGTGTCCGGAGATGTGGGAAAAATGATTCTCTGAGAAACTAATAAACAACTGGATGAGAAAGAGGGAGAGGAAAACTGGCAGGAGGATTTGGCCCCGTGCGCATAGCCAGCACATAGTTCCGCGGTCCCGGGTTCCCCCGGTGCCAGGCCAGTGGCACCAGGTACCCGGTCGGACAGGCGGACCCCCTTGGGACTGTCACCGCCCTAGGCCCAACTCCGTCGGAGCAGCTCCTCCCGAGTCTGGACCCCAGCACAATTCACAGAACCTTTGAACTCCTAAAGTTCCAGCCAGTCATGGAATGTTAGTAATGCAATCCCAGTCCGCCCCCAGCTCAGGCTCCCTACGGCCTGGCAACCAGGTACATACAGTTCGTGCTCTGGACATGACAGATTCCTGCTCCGCCGCTGTGTTTGGACAAAGACCTGGATTCTAATTTCCACTGCTCAATAGCGTGTGAAGCAGTTGCAGCTTTCTGTGCTTTTTTCCTCAGACTTAAATGAACCTACCATCCACCGCGCCTCAGGGGGTTTGTTGTGCTGTAGATCAGCGGTGAGGTCCTGAAACACACAGCTCTGTCCGTCCTTCCTCTTGTCCTTGACTAGACTGTGGCCCTATGGAACGCTTTAATATATTTTCCAAAAATATGGTGTATTTTAAGTGGTATGCTGATGAATACCTTCTATTTTCAGAGTTTAGTTATGAATTTTTCTTAAGTTATCATTGATATACAATATTATGAAAGTTTCACATGAGCAACATTGTGGTTACAACATTCACCTATATTATCAAGTCCCCCCTTCCCCACCCCATTGCAGTCACTGTCCATCAGCATAGTAAGATGCTACAGAGTCATTACTTGTGTTCTCTGTGCTATACTGCCTTCCCTGTGCCCCCACCCCCATATTATGTGTGCTAATCATAAGGCCCCTCAATCCCCTTCTCCCTCCCTCCCCATGCACCCTCCACCACCCCTCCCCTTTGGTAACTGCTAGTCCCTTCTAGGGGACTGTGAGTCCACTGTTGTTTTGTTTCTTCAGTTTTGCTTTGTTCTTATACTCCACAAATGAGTGAAATCATTTGGTACTTGTCTTTTCTGCCTGGCTTATTTCACTGAGCATAATACCCTATAGTTCCATCTATGTTGTTGGACATAGTAGGATTTGTTTCTTTCTTATGGCTGAGTAGTATTCCATTGTGTATATGTACCACCTCTTCTTTATCCATTCATCTACTGATGGACACTTAGGTTGCTTCCATATCTTGGCTATTGTAAATAGTGCTGCAATAAACATAGGGGTGCATATGTGTTTTTAAATCAGAGGTCTTGTTTCCTTTGGGTAAATTCCTAGGTCAAATGGTATTTCTATTTTTAGTTTTTTGAGGAACATCCATATTGCTTTCCATAATGGTTGAACTAATTTACATTCCCACCAGGTTTTCCTTTCTCTGCATCTTTGCCAGTGTTTGTTGTTTCTTGTCTTTTGGATGTTGGCCATCCTAACTGGTGTGAGGTGATATCTCATTGTGTTTTTAGTTTGTATTTTCCTGATAGTTACCAGTGTGGAGCATCTTTTCACGTACCTGTTAGCCATCCGAATTTCTTCTTTGGAGAAGTGTCTGTTCAGATCGTCTGCCTGTTTTTCAATCAGATTATTTGCTTTTTGGATGTTGAATGAGTTCTTTATATATTTTGGATATTAACCCCTTATTGGAAATATCATTTAGAAATATATTCTCTCATACTGTGGGATGCCTTTTTGTTCTGCTGATGGTGTGCTTTGCTGTACAGCTTTTTTGTCTGATGTAGTCCCATTTGTTCATTTTTTCTTTTGTTTCCTTTGCCTGAGGAGATGTGTTCAGGAAAAAGTTGCTCATGTTTATATTCAAGAGATTTTTGCCAGTGTTTTCTTCTATGAGTTTTATGGTTTCATGACTTACATTCAAGTCTTTGATCCATTTTGAGATTACTTTTGTATATAGAGTTAGACAATAATCCAGTTTCAGTCTCTTGCATGCAGCTGTCCAGGTTTGCCAGCACCAGTTGTTGAAGAGGTTGTCATTGTTATGAATTTATATTTAATGTGTATTGGTAAAATATAACTAGTAGCTATGATATAATGGTAACAACATAAACTTTTCTTTCAAAGAAATCTATGTAAAAATGTCAAGTTTCAGAAATATAAGTAGTAGTACTCAATTTAAAGGATATGGCAAAATTGTGAAGGCAGATTCAAAATGACTGAAATTTGAGCAATGTTGCCCCAGTGTATACGTGGGAAGAGGGGGTAGGGATGGGGCCAGGAAACTTGTCCTTGACCAGGGCTGATCTCTTTTTGTTTTTCAAAAATGAATGATGGAGATAACCTCAGCTTTCCTGGCATATTGATCTAGACTGCACCCTGAGGACCGAGGACCTAGTACCGATTACAAAGATGGAAGGGGAAAGACACATGCAGAGTTCACCACTGCTTTTTCCTTGCCAGTTTGCAAGGCAGAAAACAAACCAAGAGTTATTAGCTGTAATATGAAAAGCACTCTTATAAATGAACAAGGACAAGAAATAAAACAATGGGAAAATAGACAAGAGATGTGAATAGCTCATTTACAGAAAAAAAAGCCAAGAAGCCAATGAATGTGTGAAAAAAAAATTATATCTGCTAGTACTAGGTAATTATAAATTGAAGTAGTAATGAGCTAGCACTTCATAGCCATTGGGTTGGCAAAAATTTTAAAATAAACTAACAAAGGTTACTTGTGAAGATGTGGGGGGAAACACCATTACACCTCTGGGAGAACTATGAATTGTTAGAGAGTCTTTGGAAAAAAACAACCTGGCAGTAGCCATTAAAATAAAAAATACATATATTCTTTATGTGCATGTTTGGGAATCTGCCCCTCATCACTTTTCAGATCTCATGGCACATGTGGAGCTGCAACACCTACCCTGGAAGCAGAGCATGACCATAGACCCAAAAAAATCTGAACATGGATGGCATTCACCTGACCATCATGAGATGGATGGGCACGTGACTTACACTGGCCTGATCCAAGTCAACCTCAGGGCTTTTTCTGGGAATGCTGGGACAAACATGCTTCTTTCTGTGGATTCAAACTTGGAAGGATTAATCCCCGTGGCTGCTAAAAGCTGTTTTGTGGCTGCTAAAAGCCGTTTTGAGACCGTGCGGAGTATGGCTATGGAAAAACCCCACTCAGAGCGTAACTGACTGATGGCCTCAGTTGTTGTACCTCAGATTCCTCCATCTTATTGCACTTTAGATTCTTCTATATCATGCTAAGGCCTGCCTCCTACTGGCTGCTCTCAAGCAAGACTAAACATGAAAGAGAACTAATGCAGCATGCCTCCAGGGGAAGATTTTGGCTCGAAGACTCCCTGTCAATCTAGCTGAAACTTTCTTATAACAGGGCTATACTCTGAAATTCAACCAATGAAATCCCTTCCCCTCTCCTTTATAGGTACCATACCTGTGTCACTGAAGGTTCTCCTGACTTTCATGGGCTCCCTCCCCCTTACCTTTTCCAACTGTTTCTCCAATACACCTCTTCCACTTCTATCCTATCTTGGCAACTGATCTTGAAGGACCAAACCAATGTAAATGCTCCTGGAAATGTTCTGAGAAAATAAGTGGTAAGATAAAGCTTTGAGATTGGATCACTGACTATCCAGTGGGTAGGGAAGATGCCATTTTGAGAAGTATGTGGAGTATAGATAGTCCCTAGAAAGAGATGAAGCTGAATTACCAAAAATGTCACTGGTGGTGAAATGTATTCCACCTAGAAAAATGAATTTGTAGAAGGGAATGCCCCGGTAGCTATAATAATTCAATCATTTGAAAATATAGGGGAGCCTACAAAGACAGCAGAATCACTCTGTTATAGAGTTGTATTGATGACCTACAGAGCAGTAATGAGAAACCAATGTCCGCTGGCTAGCAGTTAAAGACTAAGTGTGAAAGTCAGAGGACCTCTTTTGTAGCCCTTATCCCCTGTAGTGGAAGACTGAATACAGCTAAACAGCAGACTGAGGATCTGACAGAGTTCCAGAGACATTTATGTGCCCCACCAAGCAGCTCTAAGGCCAGAGCTATGCATGGGAAAACTTGGAACCCTGAAACATGGCTCCTGTGTTCAAGTGGCATCATTTGGCCTCTATTACTTTGGGAACTTCATTATCCATATGGATATCAATGAGTCCAGCTCCATGATTGCCTCTACTGTGAGTTTGGCCTGTGGAAGAGAGATAGAGTATCAAATTTCTTACTGATGCTAGTGCCCTTTATGCCAACACATGGCCTTGGTGACTGGATGGATGCTCCTAAGGATGTGATGCTGACTCTGCAGGTCCCCCTGAAATCTGAGCTTGCAGAGGTGGCCTCCCTGTGTGCTGTATGCATCCACAGGTTCCCTTACAGGGGCTCCCCATTGCTTCTTCTCCTGGAAGATATACCAATAACCAGAGCTTAACCCCAGTGGAATATAGCTAGGGACATTCTGCAACTGATAAAGAGAGGAAAGAAAAAAATTATGTGCCTAAGTATAATTAGCTTGATCAAAACAATTTGGTACTGGCACAACAATGGGCCCACAGACCAGTGGAACAGAATAGAGACTCCAGACATTAGCCCAAACATATATGGTCAATTAATATATGATAAAGGAGCCATGGACATACAATGGAGAAATGAAAGCCTCTTCAACAGTTGGTATTGGCAAAACTGGACAGCTACATGTAAGAGAATGAAGCTGGACCACTTCTCTATACACATACACAAAAGTCTAACCCCATACACAAAAGTAAATTCGAAATGGATCAAAGACCTGAATATAAGTCATGAAACCATAAAACTCTTAGAAAAAAATACAGGCAAAAATCTCTTGGTCATAAACATGAGCAACTTCTTCATGAACATATCTCCCTGGGCAAGAGAAGCAAAAGCAAAAATGAAAAAGTGGGACTATATCAAGTTGAAAAGCTTCTGTACAGCAAAGGACACCATCAACAGAACAAAAAGTTACCCTACCAGTATGGGAGAATTTATTCATAAATGACAGATCCGATAAAGGATTGACATCCAAAATATATAAAGAGCTCACAC